ACTCTTTCCATCTGGCAAACTTCTAATAATTCTTAAAGACCTAGATCAATTGTTACTTTCTCAATGAAGTCCCTTCTGACTCCCATAGCAGGGCCAATAACTTCCATGATGCTTTGCTCACATACTTAGTTATCAGAAGTAATCTTGGTCATAACGACAATGAGAAGAATAGCTAATATTTAATGAATCCTTACTCTGTGTCTGCACCTACACTGGCAGATACTGGTATTGTTCCCATTTTAAGGATGAAGAAACTGAGACCTTTGGGGGTTTATGTCACTTGCTCAGTGTAATAAAGCCAATAGGAGGTGCAGCCCAGATTTGAACCAAGTTCTACCTTTCTGCAGTCTGCACCCTCAGATATTCACAGCACCATCCCGACACAATATTAAATTGCATGCATGTCTGCCCTCTTCAGTAAATTGGGGAGCCCCAGACTGAGGGAAAACCCGTTTCATTTGTGTACTCTAACAGGATCTGGCATGCAGTGAGTCCAGAAAGTTTTGATAGATTGAATTGTGATGAAAGAATCTAAAGAGAAGAAATATAACTTCCATTCCTCTTTGCAGCCTGGGATATTTTTATTATGCCGTGAGATTTCCACCCTACTCTATATCCATTTGAGAGGGATTTGCCTGTGGATAAATGCTGTCAACACCAAAGCTAACCTGTATTTCACTCACTGCACATTTATGTTTCTCTCTCTACCCTCAACCACAAATGAAAGCTAATGTGATGAAGTAGTTCTGGAAAAGACTCGTGGAAAAATAAACAAAATGAAGGCAGAAGCTTAAGAAATATCACCAGGCCTAGTTTTAATGATTAAAGCCTTTTATTTATTTATTTTTTTTAGAGTGGTTTTTGCTATAGGGTGCATGTGCTCTCCAGAAAGACAGAGACAGAGTCAGAAAGTGGGAAATCACCACCCAGGGGGATGGCCATGCCACAATCCCTTCTCCTCCATTCTCCTCTTGGGATTCTGGGCAGTCATGCACACGCACCCGGTGCGAGTTTAAGCCACCAGGTCTGGGACTCGAACCGTGGTCGACTACGTGGGAGTCCAGCGACATAGCCAACTGCTGGTCCCAATTAAAGCCATTTTTAAAGGCAAGATAGAAACTGAAGAGGTCTCTCTGTGACCTAGTGTGAAAAGAACAAGAAGGTGTGCTGAGTGGCTGCTAAAGAGATCAAATCCACCCAAAAGGCTTTACCTGGGAGTGGGGTACTGAAGACACTCCCTCTTTGAGTGAAGAGCTGATGCTTTGCAGAAACTTTCTAGGCAGTGAGGCAACTTCTAGCTAGCCTTGACAAACGGGCAGAAGGAAGAAATGCCCAAGAAGCTCAGGACTCAAAAGACAGCCTGGAAGAGGCCTCTTTTTTTTTTTTGGAGAGGTTTTTCGCTATAGGGCATGTGTGCTCGCCAGACAGACAGAGAGAGACATAGAGACAGAAAGGAAGAAATCACCCCCCGGGGGGGATGGTCACGCTGCAATCCCTTCTCCTCCATTTTACTCTAAGGATCTGGGGCATGTGCGCACACGTGCCCAGCGTGAGATTTAAGCCACCGGGTCTGGGACGCGAACCGCGGTTGACTACGTGGGAATCCAGCAACATAGCCATTACGCTAACTGCTGGTTCCCGAGGCCTCTTGACTTGATGCTGAACACAGGGTTGTTTGACCCCTGGGCATTTGCCCATGCAATGCTTGAAACTAGCAAGTTCCTCCTCTCCCCTTTCTGCTGGCACACCATCACCCTGATTTCAAGGTTGAGCCCAAGCAGCTTTTCCATCATGAAGGCGGGCACACTCTGCGTGGGGCACAGTTAATCTGAAAAGATCAGCACCTGATCTCTTTTGGTCCACTCTTGTCAATTTGATAAAGTAAGGGGCTGACCCTTTTAATACTCAAGTATGAAGTCTGATATCGCAGAACATGGAATTTGGAAGGATTTGGAATGACATGGACCTGGCTTGGAACCTTGGTTCTGTTTCTGGCTATGTGTGTGACCATGAGGAAATCACTTCCTTTTTCTCATTCTGTATTTCTCATTTGCAAAACGGCCAGGAATGGGGAAGGAGGAGAGCAGGGAGGCGCACATATTATTCTCTGTGATATAGAAAAGAAGATTTGGAAATTAGAAGGTGTTATTAGAATACCAGTGATGATCAAACATGATCTTAGGCAAGTGGTTTAACTTTGCTAGGCCTTGGTTTTCTTCTCATAAAGTGGGGTCAATGATCTCTGAGTTGCAGAGTGAGAATAAGAATAAAAGGAGGTCATGCGTGGAAAACATTGAGTATAATGTCTGACACAGAGAAGATGCTCAACAAAGGGTAGCTGGCTACCATTACTTGAGTTTTAACATTCTCTATGTCTGTGTGGAACAGTGACATCTAGGGGCAAAGTGTGACATTGCACTTCAGCTCTACTACAATAGGTACAGGATTAATCATGAGGCCAATGGATCCATGGTGGGAAGGTCCTGAGAACAGAGGAGTGGACGTATCTAATTTCATTTTGGCACCATCCCAAAAGCGGGCACTTGACTAGTGTTTGTGACTGAGTGGGTTCAGGCTAAGTAATGACGAATCACATTTTACTGAGCAGTCGCAGAAATGTCGATTGGGTGCCTACTCTGAGTCAGGTTCCTTTACAGGCACTGGGGATGCAGCGGTGGATAAATGCCAATATCCTGCCCTCACAGAGCAGGTATCTTAGTGGGAAAGACTAATAGTTAATAGTTCAACAAATACACGCATGCACATACGGTACAAGGTTAAGGAGAGGTGATTTAAAATGACCTAGAAGGGCTGGCTCTGAGGCCTGGTGGTTAAGGCAGACAGATCCCACATGACAAATTGTGTGGTTTGAGTTCTGGACATGGTAACTTGAGAAACACACCATGCGTGCGTGCACATGTGTGTGTGTGTGCATGCATGCGCATGTCCCAAATCCCCAAACAGAGAGATGGAGGAGAAGGGGTTGCAGTGTGGCCATTCCCCACAGGGGAGTGCCTTCTTCTCTCCCTCTCTCTTTCGAGAGCACACATTCCCTCTAGCAAAGAAAAAAGAAAAGGAAAAAAAAAAAAGAAGAAAAACCTTAAATAATGAAAACCAAGGAAAGGAAAGAAAAAACCAGCATGGACTTGAGCACACAAAGCAGAGCAGCAGAGAACCTATTATTACCCAGAGCCATCTCTCTATTCTCACTTCAGCTGCTTTGACTGCCTTCCTTCTTTTCCAGGTTTCTCCTTAAAAGCTGCCCAAGCTCCTCTCTGGGTTACGTCAGTGCCATCACATGCACTCCCTCTCTGAGGGCAGGAGGTTCCTGGCACACATTCTCAATGAGTAAGAGCAAGGAGCAAAGACCTCAGTCATGGTTAAGCACGTACCTCTGGAATCAGATCGGAGTTTGAAACTAACTAGTCGTGTGATCTTGGGTAAGTCTCCTTAAACCCTTTCACCTAGTTCCTTATTCACAAAATGAGGACGATAACCACATCAGCCACAAGAGGCTACCATATCCTGGCTGACGGTAACTGTTCACCGGAAGCCAACTGTTATATTAAATGTCACTTTCCATTGTTGTTTAGAGGGACAGTGAGCTACAGATTTGGCTCACCACCTGTACTTATGAGTAAAGTTTTATTGGAGCACAGCCATGCCCATTTATTTACAATTTCTTTGTGGTTGTCTCTATTCTGTTCTACAAAAGCAGAGTAATTGAAACAGAAAAGGCCTAATACACAAAGTCTCACATATTTGCTACCTACCTCGTTACACTCTGTTCCCTGGTTTATACAAAAATGCATTCTGTATTCAAAAAACTTCAGGTTTCTTTTCTTTTCTTTTCTTTTTATTTTTTGAGAGGTTTTTGCTATAGGGAACATGCGCTCACCAGAAAGAGAGACAGGGAGACAGAAAGTGAGAAATCATCCTCCAGGGGTGATGGCCACTCCGTAATCCCTTCTCCTCCATTCTCCTCTCAGGATCTTGGGCACACATGCACACGCTCCTGGCATGAGTTTAAGCCACCAGGTCTGGGACGTGAACTGCGGTTGGCTACACAGGAGTTCAGTGACATAGCCATTACGCCAACTGCTGGTCTCCAGCAGTTTGACTAATTCAAACTAACCTTCCATTAGGGCCAACTCATTGCTCCAGGGAATACTGTGAAGGGGAAGGCAGGATGGAGGTGTCCCTGGAGCTGTTCTGTGTAGGCACCTGCCCTCCTGCCATTGCTCAGATGGCTGACACTTCAAGGGAGCTGCTCAAAGACTTCTCCTGGTATTTTCCTCAAGCTGAGCCCTGACAAAGGTCTGAGGGAATGTCCTCAGCTGCTTTGGTTGCTCATGTTATTGTCTGCAACTGTACCGGGTCACATTTGGAGTGAACTTCCCTTGTCCTCAAAAAGCACCTGCCCCCAGAACAGAAGGCCTTATCTCTGAGTTACTACTCTCGTCTCAACATTTCAATTTGGCCCTATTAAAAGGCAGAAGAAAAGCTGTAATAAGGCTTCTCAATTTAAGATTTTATAATTGGTATTTAGAAAAAATGGTATAAAATCCTATAAAAATACCACATTTGGAAGCATTAACTCATCACGTGTCAATACTTTCTTTAATGGGCTTCGTTTCCTTTAATGCCTCTAAAAACATGACCATATGGGGTGAAGTTTTTGTCTGTGTGTTTGGGGAGGGCATGCCATTGGGGGTGAGGGAGGAGGAGACGGTAGCCTAGGAAAGAAAAGGACAAAAAGACTGTACTGAGAAAAGGCGTATGACCGCATTTACAAGAGTGTGTAAATAGAGTCTATGTGTCAGTTAAAAAAAGGGTCCTAAAGAAAAGGCCAGACTTTAAAAAAAGAAACCTGATAAAGTCAGTCAGTCATAAAATGACAAATACGGGATGATTCAACTTCTAGAAGTTCAGGGAGGAGTCAAATTCACAGAGCCAGGAAGCGGAATGGTGGCCCAGCCGCGGTGGTACCGTCTGCAACGCTAGAGCCACATGGAAGACAGCTGTTCAAATTCCGAAGTATGTCCACTGCGCACCGGTGACCCTGGTTGGCTGGAGGCACATGGGAACTACAGGGCGACGAGACCCTACGGAGGGTGACTGTTTTGTCTCTCTCAAGAAATAACAATTAAAACATAAACTTAACAAAAGAAAAAAGGTAGAAGGGTGGTGACCGGAGCTGGGGGAGAGAGGACAGTTAGTGTTGAGTGGGGGTAGATTTCAGTTAGGGAAGATGGGTCAGAGGGTGGTGATGGTGACACAGCACTGCAGGACCATGTGAACTGCCGAAGCTTGGAAACTAAGACCAGTTTCGTTGTGAAAATAATGAAGGACAGGAGAACGTGCCATTCTGGCTTGAGAAATTCCTTGAGGTTGCTCTAGGCTTTCTAGTCGTATGGGTAGTAGCTTTGTGGTGCTGCCGCTAAGGATCACTTACTGACCCAGTTAGAGAAGGGAGAGGTGGGAAGGAAATGCACACCCTCCATAGACAAGGCAGTCACAAGGTGCTTGATGGTTTTGGGAAGGCAGCAGCAGTTGCAGTTCAAAACTGGGCTCTTTTTCAGAATTTGTGTCCATATGAACACAAAGGAATCAATGCGAGTTCTTCCAAACAAGATGGATTTGTCATAAATGGCCGAGCATCTCTTTAACCAGAGCTGCAGAGCAGGAGGCCCCAGATGTCACTAGACCAGTGCCTCTCAAACCGCCTTGCCTCTGCGTTGCCTGGAGGTTCCTGGGCTCCACCCCAGGGTTTCATTTCTTTAGGATGGGGTAGGGAACTGGCCTCTCTAATAAGTCCCCAGGTGAGGCCATGCTGTTGCTGGTCCAGCTTACACTCTGGGCAGCCCTGAGGTAGACCAGAAGTTCAATGCTGCCTGTATATTAGCACACCAGGAAAAGTCGAAACTACTGGTGTTCAGCTCTGGCCCAGAGATTTGGTTTCCATGGGTCTGGGCTGGGTTCCTTTTTATAGTTTCAAAAGCTCCCCTCAGACTATAATGTGTGGCCAGGATGAGAATGAGTGGCCAGGCCTCTCATTTATAGCAGGGAGTTGCCATAAATTCTACCAGGGCTCAGAGGAGGGAGGGACCCCTTCACACCAGCACAGGAGTAGATAGCGGATCTGGTTATTTCCTCCCTCTGGGGGCAGCCTTAGTTTTCCTAAGGTGGCCTGGTGTGGCTATGGAATAGACAAGACTGGATATATCCCACCTCATCTGGAGAGGCCAGGGGACTGAAGCTCCTGAAACAGCCCTGGCAGTGAAGAGGTGGGTAGCGGGGCTGAGGTGCCTTCTGGGCGCCGGGCAGGAGACTACAGAGTCACAGCTCAGGAGACAATACTCTTTCAATGTGTCCCTGTTTTATAGACAAGGACACACGGGCCCAGAAAGACAAAGGGATTTATCTACAATTACAGGGCAGGCGGGGCCTGTTCTGCCTGCTGGCCCTACTGCCAAGGCAGGCCTTCTCTCCGCCATGGGCACCAGGTAACTGAGTAACCAAATGCAAGTTCCTATGAAGAACTGGAACAACAGACTCTGTGTTCCATGGTGGGCTGAGCCCACAACACAAGGTCAGCAGAGGAGGTGTCTGTAAACAGGCGATGCCACATTGGGGATTTAAAAGGATTTGTGGAGAGAGGTGTCATGTTATGAAGACCCGCTGCCCTAAGTGACAGAAATGAGAAACAGGGAGAAGCACACTCTACTTGACCTCAAATCATGGGTCAGGCTGCAAAGAGACCATTTGGATGGCTTGGTAGGGGGTCCTTGCAACCTGGGGGAAACTGTAGATTGATGCTTGACTCCTTCCAGAGAAGCCCAAAGAGCGATGGTGGGCTGGCCAGCTGCTTCTAGCATGGAACAAAGGCAGGGGGGCTGCTACAGAGGAACAACCTCCAGTTATTGAGTTTATAGCAGCAAAGGGTCCACAAGAGCTTCCTCTGCACCAAATATGGGCCACGGCAGGCCAAGATGAGCTGGAGGGAGAAGTGACCTCAGGAGTGGAAACTGCAGGATGATAGAGACAGAGGATGAAGCCACAGATGGACAATTGCAGGCCTCAGTAAAGGGGAACTCCAGTAAAGGGGGACAAAAGATACCACAAGAGCCTGAAGGGCCCACTGAAATCCCCGCCAAGTCTAGCAAGCCCAGAGCCAGCTCCTGACGAGTAAGATCTTTTGCGCACTTTCAGCCACTCTAAGATCCAGCTCTGGAGGGGTCAGACACCTTGGTGAACAGGAAAATGACAAAAACAGGCTGGCCAGAGAGAGGCAGCCAACCTGCGCCCCCACTCCCAAGGCAGGTGGCCAACCTGCTGCAGGCCTGAGCTGGGTGAGGAAGAAGTGCCATTGAGTGCAGTCTGAAGTTTGGAATACTATGATGGGCTCCACATACTGGTCACTGACCAGAGGAGCTTCCAAGTCAGACTTACCCTAGTTACCCATGAGCAAGGGAAGAGCGAGTGCCACAGCAAAGGTTCAGGAGGACAGAAGGCAAACTTTCTCCACCTCCATCCTAAGGTCCTGCTCAGTAAACATGATGGCTACACCCCATCCCACAGGTGCCAAGTGCTCTCCGCCTTCATGAGAGCTGAGCTCTGTCCTCTAAGGCAGGGCTCCCCAACCCCTGGGCCATGGACTGGGTAGCCTGTTAGGAACTGGGTTCCACAGCAGGAGGGGAGCACCAGCGAGTGAGCGAAGCTCCATCTGTATTCACATTCACTCCCCATCGCTCACATCACCGCCTGAGCTGAGCCTCCCGTCAGATCAGGGGTGGCATTAGAGTCTCAGGAGTGTGAACCCTACTGCTGTGTAATTATTTGATTATGTATTACAATGTAATTATAATTGGAATAAAGTTCACAATAGATGTAATGTGCTTGAATCATCCCGAAACCTTCCCACCCCAGTCTGTGAAAAAGCTGTCTTCCACAAAACTGATCCTTGGTGCCGAAAAGGTCGGGACTGCTACTCTTAGGGCCTCTTTGCAAATGGAATCAGTAACTTCAGTCTGGCCTTCATTTAAGGGCTCCCACTGCCCATAAGTTAAGGTTCAGATTCGGTAATGTGGCTCCTGCCCTCCCCTCTGGCCTCTTCTTCCACCCTGTCCCCATGAACCCCAAACGCCTGCCATACCGAGCTTCCCTCGGCCCCTTGTCCACCTCCGTCTTATTCTAGGCTTCCACATGCACTGTGTTCCCTACGAGGTTTGCAGCAATCCCATCCTCACCTAACTTAGCCAGGACAACTCCCACTCACCCTCGAGGTCCAACATTGGTGGCACTTACTACATGAAGCCTTCCCTGATTGCTTCACACCCCAGCACCCCTCAAATGACCCTAACCAGTCCTTATTGCCGTGTGTCATAAACTGTTTGCTAGCTATTTCCCCAGGAGGCTGAAGGTAGCTGCAGGTGGGGACTGCGTTTTGCTTGAATCCTCAGTAAATATCTCAGAGTTTGGCATACAGTAGGTGCCTAGTACAGACTTGCTAAATAAATGCTAAGCAAACACTGTCAGCACCCTGAAACAGAAGGGCAGAGATTACCTTCTTCTTCATTTTCACATTTTTGAAGATGGCGTGGACCCTCCATGTCTTTGCAAACATAGCCCCAAAGGCAGTTGTGTAGCCCACGGTGAGAATCCACGTCCTGACCTAGAGGCCACGAGAAAACAGAGGCATTAACATCCCGTGATAGTGGACAGACCTGGTCAGGTTCGAGATCCCTGGCAAGGAGAGTCTACAGGGTGGGGCCAATGCTCCACTCTGCTATTGCTGCGTTTCACTGGCATCTCTGGTCCTTCACTCAGATTCCAATCCCACTGACATTTAGTTCTGCCGGCCACATGCCAGGGCTGCACACTGGGCACTGAAGGGTGTGAGATTCAAAGCCTAACTTTGATGGCTCCATAGCTCCCAGAGGAGCTAGTGAGAGAGAGACAGAGAGAGAGAGACAGAGAGAGAGAGAGACATAGAGGGCCCAGGACACAGGACACTGAAGGGTCACTAAGAAGACGGTAGGCTAGCCCTCTGGTCTTCCCTCCCCACTGCAGCCCAGTCCTCCCCAGGAAGCCTGGATTACCTGCCCACTGTGACCTCAGGAGTCCAGTTACTCAGCACCAGGCCAGGCTGGCTGCTGAGCCCAACTCAGATTTGGGGTCCCACTCAGGACTAAGGCTCTGTCTACCTCTCACCATGGTTTCATCAGACCAAGGTGTGCCCTGATCCCGAAACCTGGGCTGGTGACCAATGAGAAGAGCTGCTCCTAATAGGTGCCAACCAGCTGGATTCACACTGGCTGGGATGGGCTGGCCACCATCTGTTAGGTCTTGGGGCCTCTAGGAGCCCCCACCTGTGCTGTCTTTAATCCCAACACCACCTTCGCCAGCTGGCTGGACGTCCTCCAGGATCCAGGAGGCCCAGGTATCTCCGGATAGGGTCACATCATGGCCCAGCCCCGGGCTGTGCACCTGGAGCTCTGGGGCCTCTGCTCACTGGGACAAAAAAAGCCCTATGTTCTGTGAGCTGCAGTTGTAGGCTTTGGTCTTTCCTCTATTTGCTCTCAGCTGTGCTGAGCTAAGTTCTCTTTGAAACGTCCAACCTGTCTAGTTGAACACAAGAAAAATGGTGGACGGGGTAGGAGAAAAAGAGAGACAGCTTGGCCAGGGCTGCTGTCGGCATTTTAGGAAGTTAGAATTGCTCCTAGCCCAGCCCCTCATGTATTCACTTTCCTCCTGTCTTTCAGTAACTTGGCTCACCAGCTTTCCTGAGACAGAGTACTTCTCCTTTCCATTTCAGTTTTAAAAATAGGAACTGGCTGAGCAAATTGTAAGGCTGAGCCCCTGAGTCAAGGGAAGGACGACGGCATTAGCGCGCCTGTTCCGAGACACGGTCGTGTGAAGTGGGAATGC